GAGGCTCACAACACTTAGAAAAATCCCATAAGTGTTCGGCCATGACTTAGGCACTCGAACTCGGTGAGGCGCGCGGCCTTGGGCACGAGGACTTGAACCTTAGCACGAGATCGGTGCGTGTCTCCTTTCGACCGAGTGACTTGATCTAGGGCTCGATAAAATGATCTCATACTTAGAATAAGTAAGGCTATGAGCACGACTAGAGCTCGAACAAGACTCGGGACTACTAGGGCTTGAGACTTGGCTAGGCGCGAGACTCGTGACCGAACGACTCGGTTCCGGACACGGCTCAACTTGGACGATATATCGAAACATACTCGGTCTCGATTATTCGTCAACTGGAATAATTAATTCCGACTTAATAAAATCCATTACTAAAATAAATGGACCGAAATTAATAACTGGGATCGAATAGCTGAGTAACTGGGCTCAGAACTGAAAACGAGCAATATTAATAAAAGGAAAAATAGTTCAAACTCGGAACTAAAACTGATCACGTTTATTAATACAGAATTTGGGCTATTACAATGGTCGCATGGGTGGACATGTGCTCGAAGACGAAAAATCCATCATGATTAAGGCCGAGAGGCTGGATGGTCGCATGTAACGACCACCCCTTTGAGGGTGGACATGTGCTCGAAGACAAAAAAATCCATCATGATTAAGGCTGAGAGGCTGGATGGTTGCATGTAACGACCATCCTTTTGAGGGTGGACATGTGCTCGAAGAAAAAAAATCCATCATGATTAAGTTCTCATTTCCTCTCTCAATGCACTAAACCCTTCTCTGCCAACGGCAACAAACCTTGAAGGCTGACTACTTCCCGACGGCGAGGCGAGCCCAGACACGGAGAGTCGACAAAACTAAGTCCAGCGATCGAGAGCAGCACCACCAACGGGTTTTAGTCCGGCGACCGACGAGCAGCACCTTCCCCCTGCCCGAACCAGATTTCGACGAGAGCCACCAGGTGAGAGAAGCAACCCACGATTGAGGCCTGACCATTTCTGTGGCTGAGACGAGCATACAGGAGAGTGAAAAGTAGCAGCATCTCAGGCGACCGAATATTTTTTCCGAGTCCCAGCAGCAATTTTGAGCTGTCCCACCCGAACACCTTTCTTTCTCTATTTTCACGGTAATCCGTTGCCTCATCATTTTGCAGTGTTCTATTTGATGAAAGTATTTTCTTCACATCCCTTTTGTGGTGGGTCTTGAATTGATAATTGTTGGGAATTTGATTCGATTTGAGTTTGATCAGTTATGATTTGTGGGTATCTGTCGTGAAGTTGGACTTTGGATATCTTGCTTTCTGACAAACAAAATTTGGGTTGAGTAAATATTGCATTTGCACTTTTGTTGGCCGAAATCCTATGCTTTTTTGTGCTTATTTTTCAGTTTGAAGAGCATATGCATTTTTGGTTGAAGTGTGAGAAAAAGGGGCGTGTTATTAGGGTTGGTTTTGTTTCAGTGACGGCTGAGATTATGTGGTTATTTGGATGTTTAGTTTCAGTTTACTTGGAAGTTAAAAAGCTTGTTGGAATCATTGAGTTTGTTTGAATGTGTTAAGGCCTGTCGTTTTTAAAATTTGCTGAACCCCCCTTTTAGTTTTGTTTTTGGCCGAGACCTTTGAATGCATTTTAGACCATTGTTATGCTGATTAGTTGAGTTTATAAAGAGTTGGGTTTCAGCCCTAAAGGTTTTGTTTAGCATGCTTAAGCTAGAGTAGAAAGTGATATTGGGTATGTGAAGTCTTTGCCTTGTTTGTAATGTTTTGTGACCTGGTGTTATGGTGTTATGTGAAATGTGAAGGCTGAAATGAAAGCCCGTGGTAGTGGAACTTCAAGAAGCGGAGATCGTGCCCAAATCGACAGTGGTCGTAAAGCAAAAGGAAAACGGCCGGCACTGGTAAGTTTTATATAAGCTGATGTTGTTATATAAGCTGATTTTGAGCTTTTGCTGGAGAGAAGTATATTAGCTTCTTTTTTTAGTATACAATGTACCATGGAGGTGTGTCTGGGATGATATAATTATCATAACACCTTAAATATATATTTTTCAGTCGCAACCAGAAGAGAAAAGAGGGCGTGACGTCAAGTCCCGACGTGTTGATTCTTCCGCCCGTCGGAAAAAACAAGAAGAACTTGATTTAGCTCGTGAGGCAAAGAAGAAGGAGATACAGAGAAAAGCATTTCTAGCGGTTAAGAAACGTCGGACAGAGGATGATATTCTTGCACAATGTCGGACAAAGCGTCGTGAAGACTCGTCTATATACCAATCGGATGAGGAGGCGAAGGATGATGAGGAGAATGAAGAAGAGGATGATAACCTAGAACAAGATGAGCGTGGAGAAGAAGATGATGTTGATGAAGAAGATGATGTTGGCGAAGAAGATGAGGATGCCCGTGGTGAAAATGAACGCGAGGATGAAGACGATAGACGAGCACAAGAAGAAGGAAGTGATTCATCTGCACCCTCACCAGCTCCAGGTAAACTTTCAAAATAATTAACCATGCGGCACGAATTAATTAATTACTTAATTAATTAACTAGCTATGGACTGTTATGAAAATTATAAATCAAAAGAAAAATAAAATAATAATATGATGAGATAGGTGTTAATTCATGTTGCCTTCTTTGTTGTTATTGTTACTACTGTTATGCAATCTAGGAGGATAAATAAAATGAAAAAATAAATGTTAATAATGGTTTAATCAAAAGACAGGAAATTAGTCATTGGGACACATCTACTGTGATTCACAATGATGTTGCTTTTTATTTGCCCAACAAATGTTGAAGTAAATATTGTTGTGTTTGAATTTTGATTGCTATCGACTTAATTTAAATTATAAATTAATAGTGTCTTTATTTATGTTATCTCTTTTTTTTTTGTTAAATTGTTGCAGATGGTAGTAAGACATCATCAAGCAAGTCTGGTTCCGAATGGCTTGTAAAAGAACCGGTGCCTGGTGGCCCTATTGATGGGACCATCATCCCGAGTTTCTGTGGTCATGTTGCATATGAGGTTTGGACTACAAGAGAAAGAAAGACGTTGAAGATGCATACAAGAACATTAACATTAAATTGGTTGGCCGAATGGATGAAGGATAATGCTGATTTGAGGAATGAGGTTGTCCTAACAGGTTTGTCGCACCTCGCTGCTTGCATGCATGATACCATTGATGTTTCCCTGATCAATGCCTTTATTGAGCGTTGGCAGCCTGACACTAACACATTTCACCTTCCATTTGGTGAAATGACCATAATGTTGCATGATCGTGAGCGTATTTTGAGGATTCCGATTGAAGGGGAGCCGGTAAGCAAGAACCTTACTTCTACCGAGGTGCAGGAGTTGGTCAAAAAAATATGCAAGGTGGACAAACTTGACTTGCATTCTTTTTACCAGAGTGGTGGGGTTACTAATGTCTCTGTTGTCAATACGTTAATAAGGACTCCGGGGGTTGATATCCAGAGACAGATAGAGGGTTGGTTATGGCTGGCTTTGGGTTCCACTTTGTTCGTAGATAAGAGTGGAAATAAAATTAGGCCTGGGCCTTTGCATGAGATCCAAAAGGGAATTGGTACGCTGTCTAGTTATTCGTGGGGTTCTGCTGTTCTAGCTCACATGTACCGACAGATGGGAATGGCTAGCAGAACTGATGCAGGAGGTATTGCTAGTTGCCTCACTCTTTTGCAGACTTGGATCTTTGAGTATTTTCCGACCTTTCGACCCCATATCTTTCCACATGTTACAGCGGAGGGGCAAGCCCGCACATGTAGATGGAAAGTGGACTCAAAAGCATCCAAACCTTCATCTGTCGCATTGGATGGTTACCGGCGACAACTTGACAATTTGAAGGCTAGTAATGTACGTATTAGTTACAAAGTTCTTAAATTTTGTTAAATTGCTTATAATAATTTATTGTTTGTTATCACTAAGTCTTTTTGTGTTTTTGGTTATTGTTCGTTGTAGGTTGTGTGGATGCCATACGGTGAGGATGTACATGTTACCTGTCCGAGGACACTTTATTATGGCTGGCTTCAGTACCGTGACATATGTGAGCCCTATATGCCAGCATGTGTTCTGCGACAGGTAGGGATGGTTCAGACGATTCCACCCACTATCCTCCACCCGACGAAGGGCACTCGCAGTCAGGGCAAGCATAACTACAAGTTGGATTTTCCATCGATTTCTGCTTCAGACGGATGGAAGACCTTTCTGATTGGGGGTTGCTTGAATATTCTATCTTATACCCCAGTCACGTTGGATGACTCCGGAGCTACACATACTGGGTACATGGATTGGTATCAGAAGTACTCACACCCATTTGTCCTCCCACCGGAGCGTCGCAACATTGAGACGACGAATGCCACTACATGCTTGGTTCCCATATCTGTAAGTCGTTTATTAATTTTTTTTTGGTGTTTTAGTATATTGGGATGTTTATTTGAATTATTAAATTTTTTTGTATATCTCTTTTTCACAGTGGGTGAACAAATTTCGGGACGCTGCAAATGAGGCCATTGCGATAGCTATGGAGGCAGATCCTGTTAGGGCGGAAACGGTGAAGGAGACAGTTGAAGGTCTCATGGCTAATTTTCATACATTTAGGCGGTAGCCATGGATATGAATTGTTTTGTATTTGGTTGATTGTAGCAATGGATATTGAATTGTTTTGTAGTTAGTTCAATGGTTGGATGTTTGAATGTGTTGAATTGGTTGGATATTGAATGGTTGGACGTTTTTATTGTTTGGATTAATTGAATGATTAGATGTATTGATTTTTAATGAAATGAATGTTTGGATTATTTGAATGTTAGATGTTTTGATTTGTTGAAATGGATGTTTGAATTAGTTGAATGGTTAGTTAGTTTTTGGTGTAAGTTGGACAGGTATAGAATAAGTTGGACGTGTGGAAAATTACAAAAATGAATGTCTTGAAAAAAGTTTGATCTCAAGTCCATATGATACTAGAATAGACCAAAAAAAAAAAAAAACATAAAAAATTAACAATCGTTTGTCAAGTCCACATGATACTGCCTCATGTCCCCAATGTTGCCAGAAAGTTTCCTCCACTCAAAGATTCTAGCGCAATATAGTAGATCAAAACCTTCTACACTAGGATCCTTGTACTTTGTCTAAAGAAAAGCTGGTGGTGGTACGGGAGAATATGAACTTAGATGTAACCTAACAAAGTGATTCCCAATGCAGAGGATGGTGATCTCCCTCTCCGGACATGCTTTTCCATTTGTATTCCGCATCGGCAACACAGTACAAGCAGAGTTTGCCCACGTCAAGTCCCATTCATTATAGGTTAGACAAATTATAGCCGCATTAAATAAGGTGGCAATGGGAAACAAGTCATCAAGCATAACCATGTAATGATCGATACCACAACCACTATTCCTTTCATGCCTTATGCGGGAAACTTCTTTGCTCACATCCATAAACCCCACTTTTTCATACACTTTAGGGAACGAAAGTAATTCATCAATCACTTGCCTTCTTATATCCATCCATTGATTTTGATCATTCAAAACACAATCGGCTATAACACGGAAACCACAATTGCCGTCGCCAACAACGTCCAAATACCCTTCGACATATGGCAAAATAAACTGAGGAATCTTATGAAAATTCTCCCAAAGAAGAACTGCATCTCGACCACCACCTAAAAATTACAAAATAGAAGCTTATGTATACCAAAAAAACATCTAGACATAAAGCTTAAAGTAAAATATAATAGAAGTTGTATACCTTGAATGTTTTGGAAATTCGTTGTCCCGCGACCACGCCCATATGAGGAACCACGCCCACGTGAGGAACTACGACCACGTGAAGAACTATGACCATGAGAGAAACTATGTGATGAACTCTTAACCCCTTGAGTGGTGTCGAGACAACTGATCTCCCACGAAGACAAGTTACGATTCGTAAAGGCTCTGCTCGCAGGTCGACCTCTACGTGATTCATTCACATCCAGTTCTCCATATTCTCCTTGATTCGGGTAGGCATGAGGATCGAGCAAAGCATTTACCCTTCGAATATATTCATCATCTTTGGACCTAACAACTGCAACAAGACTATCAAAATGTTGCAAATCTATCGATCCTTCTTCTTGACGAACGTTGACTTCTGAATTGATTCGGAGAGTTGTCCAAAACTGATGTAGGTGATGCGGTTCAAAGATTAGATTGTTCTGGAGTGCTCGGTAAATCTCACAAGGGCATGGCATACCATGAGTCATTCGCATTTTATGTTGACACAAATTAGGCGTATCATCACCCCAATCGTTTGTCACAAGTTCCAATGACTTAAACAACAAATTCAAACAATGGAGTGATGCACGATTTCTCAAGTATGTGAATGGGGGTACCGTGTGATCCACATTACTCTTACACAATGATTGTTCTTGATCATACCTGTTAATGAAAATATTATATTCAGCTCGTAAGTAATTAACAATTAAAATGAACGTCCAAGGCCAAATATTGAAAGACAGACAAACGTCCCAGTAGCAGGCTTAAAGAGATAGTTAACGTCTAGTATAGAAGCTTGGAACAGCTTGAAACTTCCCAGTGATAAGCTTATAGAAACTTTAAACGTCTAATATTGAAGCTTTAAGCAGCCGGAAACTTCCCAGTGGTAAGCTTCAAAAGACTCTAAACGTCTAAAATCGAAGCTTTCAATAGCTCAAAACTTCCCAGTGATATGCTTAAAGGGCTTTTAAACGTCTGATTCAAAAGCTTCATTACTGCAACTTTTTTTTGTCTTAATCATTTATCACATAACTTTTATATTAAATATTACAAACCATAATCATAATGTAATTATGTACCTGATTTGTGTATTTGTAGATCTAGTCTCCTCATGTATCGAAATAAAAAGAGTATCAAATGAGCCGGTGGATGTGTTAAGCCATTGTTTTAAGGCGGCATGCGTGCTTTCCACTCTACAAGTTGTTGTGTTCCCAAAGTGTTGTAATTGGTTTGTCCAGAGATGAACAAACTTCTCCTTGTGTGGATCCAACCATGTGGACTCAAGGTAATGCAAAATTTTTGGATAAGGACGCAATTTTTCTCTCATGTCTGTCAAGGCTTTTTCGTACTTCTCCACAGTGTTGGCTTGCCATACTAGTCTCCATGTGCCACTTTTAAAACTCGAAGCGTAATCCCGACTATTTACATTTTTATTACCGCCTAATTTTTTGTACACTTGATTCTCCACATCCTTGTTGATGTGGAAAGTACAAAGCAAGTGGGGAGTTTGAGGAAATTGTTCCTTAATGGGAGCCATCAACCCCATCTCCCTGTCAGTCAAAATGACTGTGGGCTCAACATCATTCCCAATCAAAATCCGTAAGTTCTTCAACACCCATCGATAACTATTAGCTGACTCATCCATAATAATTTCATAAGCAATCAAAATTTTTTTATTACCAGGAGTCATGCCAATAATTTGGAACAAAGGCATCTCGTACCTGTTCGTCTTGTACGTGGAGTCCACGCCAATGACCCAAGGGTATGCTCTAAGTGTCTTTTTCGACTCTGGATGGACCAAGAACACATGGGTTATCTTCTTTGTATCATGATCTCTAAGCGATTGAATATCATATTCGTTGTCCTTAGCCAACTTGTAGAACTGTTGAATCATACTCCTTTCTCCAAATGATGCCTTCCGGAGCTTTGCCCTGCAGTTGTAAATTTGTCTGATGTGACAATTGTCCTCCGGAAATGATTGTTGAACAGCCAACAATATGTTTTGCGGCTTTGTTTGAGAAAGAACCATCGACCGGATAAGTTTTTTTGCTCCAACACTTATAGCACTCATTTGTCGATGTCCCTCTGCATATTCAACGGGCTCATGATTGTGTCTACCCTCTTCACATTCCATATTCCAACTATGAAACTCCGAATATGGCGTCAAGTTTTTCAATATTACCGTGAACTCACAACCACAAACAATGGTCTTTGTGTTCTTTCTCTGTCTTGGATTTGGAGTCCCTCCATCTTTCGATTTTTTTCTGTTGGCCCGATTACATCTAAGCCTTACACTGGTGGGTAAATGTTTTGAAGTTATTTTCAACTCATACCTAGAGTATATGGCAAGAAAGTAGCAATAATGAAGAGCTTCACTATAACTCTTATGTATTTGCCCGTCTTGAAAATAATCCGTATAATCTTCAAATTCGTCCTGTAAATAGTTAAATTACACAATTTTATTACCACATTTGATTAAAGTTAAATATTAAATCACAAATCATTTAGGTGATAAACTAAGAAAACAATAAAATTTAGTTGCAGAAAAACAAGCTTTTGTTTTAGACGTTTGAAGTGCTTATAAGCATTAGGATTAGACGTTCAGAGACATACAAGCTTACAAACTGGACGTTTATCTTGCCAGTCGGGCTTCCTGTTTAGACGTTTCCGGGCTCTTGTAGCTTAACTATGAAACGTTTACTTCCTGTGTAAGCTTAGCTATTAGACGTTTAGTCTACGTTCTAGCTTTTACCTGGGACGTTTGCTGAACGAACTTAAACCCTAATCTATATCTATTATCACTCTATTCATCCTACCATACTAATCAACCTCTCACATTTTTTTAATGAAACGTATATGAAGAGGATTTAATGATCTAAGTTATAAAATAATTCAAATGCTCAAAAATCAAGAGATCTATCTTGTGAGTGAAAATCAATGTAAAAAAAAAAAAAAATTAGGGGTTAACATAAGTTACCTCATTTGCATGTGTCCTCGATGATGTTGGATTACTAGACATGTAGATTAATGAAGAATAATGTAGAGATTGGTGAGTTAATTTTTAATGAAGAGGAAGAAGGAGATTGATGAATATATGGATTTTGGTAAAAGTGAAGATGAAGGACAAAAATATTTTTAAAGTAAATAAAATATTTTTACTAGGACAAAAATGTAATTTCTATTATTATTAGTAGGTCAAAACTGAACTGAGACCCGGACCGTGGAATCGAATTTAGAAATAATAAATAAAAAAATCTTATTGTTCGATCTGAAATAGTCAAAAGCATTCAACGACCCAAATTAGTGGGTTGTCAACGGTCCAATATCAGGCCACCGGCCGAGTTCCGTCAACAGATTAAAAAACAAAAGAAAATATGATGGGCCATCTCGAGAGCCGGTCTAGACCAAAATTTTTTATACATGAGGCCCAGAACCGGCCTAGTCAAACTACGAGCTCGATTCTGGGCCTGTTGACCATGGGCCGGTTCGGGACCGGCCCATGGCCATGATTAGTAATTTAAACCTGTAAAATGTAAACATGAACGTGAATACAATACATCTACTTTGATTCTCTAAAAAATATGCACCTCTAGTTTGATTCACTAAAAAACGAGGTCTTTTTTGTTGGACTAATAGTTTGAGTGATATGTGGAAATCAAATTATTGAGGAGGCTTTCATGTTAGACGTTTCTGAGTACATTAAGCTATTTTTTAAGGAAGTTTGTTGATGTCATAAGCTTCTCTTTGTGACGTTTGTTTTGCTTCGAAGCTAAGCAGTCGGACGTTTCCTATGGAAACAAGCTTCACTCTTGAACATTTCTTTAGTTTCAAAGCTTTGCTTCTGGACGTTTGCTTTCACTATGAAGCTTCAATTTTGAACGTTCATCCGCCATGCGAGCTTAGCTGCTGTTCGTATCCTGTCATAAGCGAGCATCAAAGTTGGACGTTTGCTCTGCACTATAAGCTTTCATTTATAAAGTGTTAAGTGTGTTGCCCCTCCACTTCTAGACGTTTCTCTTCAGAGTCGGGCTCTGCTACGAAACGTTCCATGGGCTTACGAGCTTAGCCTTTGGACGTTAGGTTTCATAGTCGGGCTCCTTTGTTGGACGTTTGTTCGACTTTCAAGCTTAGCTTCTGGACGTTTCTTAAACTTTCAAGCTTTAGTGTTAGACGTTTGAATGCATTTTTTTTCATTAATTTCTTTTTACCATAAAGATATTTTTATAAATTTACAATTTTTTAAGATTTTTTTCAGACAACAAATAGTAATTTCGGGGCGACAAATAACACCACCCTTTATTTTGTTCTCTTTGAAATAAGGATATGCTGGCCTGTCATTTGGGTCTCGGTCTCAAAACGCAGTTCTTTTCTCTCTAAGAGCATCTCCAATGCTCTAATATTGTAGTAGGATAAATTTTGACAAATGTCAAAAAATTAAGTAGATTGTGAACCATGTAGGACAAATGTTGAGTTCACAACTATTAAATTAAAAAATCATCTTCAATGCACAATGTAGTTAAATTACAATATTATTTACTTGCTAAATATTAAAATTTTAATATGAATTAATAAAATTAATCAAATAATTAAATAGCTTAAAAATGGTAATAGCAATTCTCTCTCTTCTCTTCATTGGCTAACTAGAGTGTGGAGGAGAATGTGGATGAACCACATTCTTCTCTACATTGTAGACATTAATTATGTCCACATCATCACAATATTTATGATCACATTGTACATTGGAGGATAAAAAGTTGTAATATTAATAAATGTGTTGATTTGGAATGTAATTTGGTACTACAACATTGAGCATTGGAGATGCTCTAAATATCTACCTCTGAAAACGGACGTCCTATTTTTAGCCCTAAATTTCCTCTTGTCTAATCCCCCTCGATCTTCTCCGATCAAAGCTCGCTATAATGGTACTGTTTTTTTTTTATTAAATAGTTTGCCTTTTCATCGTTTGTTCTGCACATATTTTTCATCCATTTTTTTATTTTTTTTATTTTAACTTATATCCGTTTGGGATGATAATTTTCGAGCTACTTATCTGTTAGTCATGCTTGGTTTCTGTTTAGTGATCCTTGTCAGTTATAGCACTGAAGGCAGTAACTTGTCATTTTTTTGGCAGCTCATTTTTCTATTCGTATACATTCATTCTTATATTTTTCGTTCTTATTAGATTCTTAGAATCGGTTTGATATTGTTTGGTTACTCGTTTTGAAATTTTATATCTGTTGTGTTATTTTTAGGCTGATCTTAGATTAGGCGCTTATAGTCTAGTTAGGATTTGTTTTGCAACCTTTTTGTGGCAAATAAGTTAGTTATCCTGTCATCGATTGGCCGGCAGAACTATGTTAGTTTGTTAGTATAATTTTGATTTATGCATTTTCTTATGATTTTCATGGTGCATAAGTGTCTGTTTGCTCTTTTCTCTTGGTCCTTATGGTCAAGTCTGTTTATGCGAGGCAGTATCTGCTTGATTTTACTCGGA